CCCCCCTTCCCCCCCTTTCGCCACGCCGCCCCCTGACTCCGGAACCCAACCCCCGCCACCCCTACCCCTAGTCCTCACCTTAACCCAAGCCCCTAATCCCAACCCCAACCACTAACCCCAGCCCCAAGGAGTATTCACTACTCATTACTCATTACCCACTACTGACAACTTGCTATTCGCTACTCACTTCTCACAACCCCCTACTCACTACTCGCGATTCACTACTCACTATCCACTACTCACTACCCACCACCCACTACTCGCTACTCACTACTCCCTACTCACTACTGCCTCCTCCCTACTCACTCCTCACTACCCACTATTCAATACTCACTACTCACTGAGCACTACTTACTATTCCCTACTCACTACTCACGAATCACTACTCATTACCCACTAGCCACTACTCACTACTCACTACTAACTACTCATTGCCCACAAACCACTACTCGCAACCCACTACTCGCTATTCGCTACTCCCTACTCCCTACACAATACTGACTACACAGTACTCAGTACTCACTACTCGCTACTCCAATACTCGCTATTCAATACTCACTACTCACTCCCCGCTACTCACTACTCACTACTCACTACCTACTACTCCCTACCCACTAGTCACCACATGGTCTCTAGTCACTAGTCACAACTCACTAGTCACTACTCACTACCCACTACCCACTACTCACCAATCGCTACTCACTACCCACTATTCCCTACCCACTTCTCACTACTCACTGCTCACTACTCCCTACTCGCTACTCACTACTCGCTACTCCCTACTCGTTACGCACTAATCACTACCCACTACTCACTACGGACTTTTCTCTACTCACTACTCACTACTCACTACGCCCTACCCTCTCCTCACTACTCACTACTCGCTACTCCCTATTCGCTACTCACTACTCACTACCCATTGCCACTACCCACTACTCTATTCATCACTACTCACTACGCATCACGTACTACTCAGTACTCACTACTCGCTACTCACTACGAGCTACGCACTACCCACTATTCACTACTCACGAATCACTACTCGCCACCCACTACTCACTACCCACTACTCACTACCCACTACACCTTACTCCCTACTCCCTACTCAGTACTCACTACTCACTTATCACTACTCGCCACTCACTACTCACTTATCAGTAGACACTACTCACTATTTACTACTCACTGCTCCCCACTCCCTAGCCCCTACTCCCTGCTCGCCACTCACGACCCACTACTCACTACCCAATACTCATTATTCACTACGCACTAACTCACTTTTCACTACTCACCACTCCCTACTCCCAACTCCGTACTCCCTACACGAGGGGGGGGGGTCCGAACCCCCCCCTCCCTTTTCCAGCGCCAAGGGGGGGAGGGGGGGGGGGTCCGATCCCCCCTCTTCAAGGGAGGGGGGGGGTCGGAACCCCCCCCACCCCTTAAGGGGGGGGGCGGGGGAGGGGTCCGGACCCCCCCCCCCCCTGATGGGGGGGAGGGAGGGGTTCTGGACCCCCCCCTTTTGGTGTATTCAGGGAGATCCACTGGCGCACTTTCGCATCTGAACTTCTTCTTATTATTATGCTTCTTATCATTTCACATTCCCTGCCCCCCCCTCTGGTCCCCGCACATGCCTCGGCCCATGATACGCTATCCCCTCTTTCTGACCCCCATCGGTGCACCAGAGGGAACAAGAGGTCGCCATGACTCAATTCGAGCACCAAGATTGAAGACGTGGTTGGCCCCATTTGGAGGCCTCTGGGGGGCTTCTCGTCGCTACGGCTGGATTTCCCTTGAAGTTCTGGTCAAAGCGCGGCCCTGGAGAGGTTGACGATCGACGTTTGGGAGGAGGAGGAGGAGGAGGAGGAAGAGGAGGAGAAGAAGGAGGAGAAGGAGGAGGTGGAGGAGGAGGAGGCGGAGAAGGAGGCGGAAGGGGAGGAGGAAGAGGAGGAGGCGGAAGAGGAGGAGGAGGACCAAGACCAAGACCAAGAACGCAGGGGACTTGTCCAATATGTCGGAACAGAGCAAAACTGGATTGCCTCAAAACGGCAAGCTAGAAGTCCCTGCGAGAGGCGAACCTCGAGAATCCAAAATGAGAGCGTGGAGGGCCCCCGCTGGGGGGAGTCACCCCCTCTGGCCCCTATGGCAGACTCCCGTAGGCGCGGATGTCCACGCGGGAACGCCTGTGGGCACCAGCCGCCTACCCCTTGCGCCTCGAACTTCTGGCCCCCCGAGCCTTGGGAGGAGGTCGTGAGCCCCCCTTCTTCGAGGAGACCGCTCTTCCCTCCCTCCTGTCAGCATCGGCGGCGGCCACACGATCAGACTCCTCCCCCTCCCCGGCCGACGACCTCACGACGAACCCGTCCCTCCCCGCGGCACGGACGTCCTGCAGCATGCCCCTCTTCACCAACTGGTGGTAGCGTTTGCTTGTCGCGAATGCCGAGGGCAAAGAAAGCCCAGGAGGAGGAGGCACAGGGGGGAGAGACCTGACCACAGGATCAGAACTCGGGAGAGGGAGGAGAGAGCGGACCTCAGGACAGCTTCTAGAAGTCTCAGAACGGGATTCAGATCTTACCGCGCTCGTCCAAACTTCAAACTACCTCTGGGCCTCAGGGTTCAGAGAGGGCGGGCGGCGATCAGACTGGATACTGCACTCAGTGAACGATTCACGTGGACCCCTTTCCACAGCATTCACGGGCTCAGTATGCACATCAAATAAATTGGCAAACCCTTGAGATTGACCACATGAGCTCTCCCCCGCAGAAGATGAGACCATCAAAGATCCAACAGGCTCTGCATTCACATCAGGTAAGTCTGCACACCCTCAGGATAGACGTCCACTTCCCAGCGAAGGTCTGTAAGTGGGCGGATCCTCAGCTGACATCACAACTTGTCGAGCTCTACTCCAATCATCAGGTTCCGACGAATTGGGTGTTTTTTTGCACGCTGCCGTCTTTGGGGAATCACCTCCTCTTCTGGAGCAGCTCTGCGATCTGTCTCTCCAGCGGCCCCCTCGTTGCCGATCCCACCAGACGGACTGCCCCCGCCTCCTCCAACACTCTGTCGAAAATCTGGCGGAGGATCATACCCACGGCCGTCAGATGGATCACAATCTGGAACTTCACTTTCCCCTTCATCCGCTTGCAGTGATCTCCCCGAGGCTGCTTCACATTGAAGTGGGTGATATCGGTGGCAATACAGTCGGGCTGCTTTTTGTCGACCTGTGCATTCCAAACAATCGTGACGACATCGACCACTGCGCCCTGAGCCTGTTTCTTCACTGCGTTCATTGTCAACCAAAAGACCGTCACGAACCATTGGCCGAGGGACGACATATCCGTCTCTGGGTTGGCCTTCTTGGTCTCTTTCAAGCCGGCTGCCACTTCCGTGTAGTATTTGTTTGCGGCCAATCCAGCCTTGGCCAAGAGGTGGGCCGTGTCCAGCAGGTATGTCTCCATCACGTTTGGCTCGACGAGGGCGAGGCCGCGGGCGTTCACGAGGGCGATCCACGCGGTGAGGTCTACAAGCTCCTGCTCCTTCTTGCCTCGACCTCCGCCTCGACCTCCCTGGGAGTCCTCGCCTCGCTGTCGCTGGGACCGATCCTCCGCGTCGGGAGGAGGAGGAGGAGGAGGAGGAGGAGGAGGAGGAGGATGGTGGGCCAGAGACGGTAAGGTGGTCCCGAGATGCTCTTTCAGCTTTTTAGCTTCTCGCGGCCCTCCCCGAGAGCCCCAAAATGGCCCCGGACGCCTCCAAGAAGACCCCAGGACAGCCCCAGAGGGCCCGAACATCCGCGGCAACCCCCAGGATCACCTTAGAGGGCCTGCACAGAGCCCCAAGACAAGCCCAAGAAGCCCCCTAGACGCTTCCAGTCGCCGTTCGGAGATCCAGGACATCCTCGTCGTCGTCTTCACCGTCCTTTCTCACCCGTCGTCGTCGTTGTCGTCGTCATCGCCTTCACCACCGCCGCCGCCGCCACGACCATCATCTTCCTCGCCGTCGTCGTCGCCGTCCCCTGGACACCAGCTCCCGTGCCCTTTTTCCTCCTGCCCTTCTGACAGCACCTCTTCACTCCTGCAACTAATATCATCCATCCTCTGCCCTCCGACCTCTCTCGCGCACACTGTTCTCTCTCTCTTTCTCTTTCTCTTTCTCTCTCTCTCTCTTTCTCTCTCTCTCCTTCCTTAGACTCCTCCAGGAGCCCCGACATCGCCACCTTGCTTGCACGGCTGCATCGCCCTCCTCACTTTGCTGTGTCTGGCAAGGCATGCTCGTCCGCACGCAAAGGCCGGAATTCGTGGCTCGATCGGGTCAGCTTCTCGCGGAGCTCCGCGGGCTCCAGGACCGTCGGCAAGCGGTCCGTCAGCGCCTTCGTATCACCTGAGCGGAACTGGCGAGAACTGTTTGGCGGTAGGATTACTTAACGACTTAACGACTCTCTCTCTCTGGTTCGATTACGATGGTGGCATCATTCTTCATATTGTCGTCATTGCGGTCGTGAAGGAAACAAGTTCTGGATGAACAGTCGGTTGACAGGGGTTCCAGGGTGTCCAGGACTCGTTTCTCTCAGGACCCTGATGGATCATTGTAAATGAGTAAGGAGCGGGAGGGAGGGAGGGGGCCACGCCCTCGTTTGAGAGCAGTGGAAGAAGGAGGGGGAAGGAGGGAATGAGGATGAGAAGGGACAGCGGATGATGGAGGTTGGGGACATCGGAAATGAGGAGGAGGAGGAAGAGGAGGAGGAGAAGGAGGAGGAGGAGGAAACGCTGAAAAGTGGAGGGAGTAAGGCCCGATGCGGAGAGGAGCACGATGCGGAGAGGGGGCCTTCGACTGCAATGGTGAGGGAAGCGCAGGTGATGGCATCGATGACGAGAACGGCACTGCCGAGAAGGATGTGGTGGTGGAGGAGGAGGAGGAGGAGGAGAAACGAGGAGAACGAAGAAGCAGAGGAGGAGGACGAGGAGCAGAAACGAGGAGCAGGAAGCGCGTAAGCCCACCGCCCCCAGACACATGCCAGCAGCAGCAGCAGCCGGCCGATCTCCCGGACGAGCGGAGTGCGGAGCGCAGCCAGTCGGAGTTCGCGCAGCAGCTGCTGGTGGGCCGCGGAGGGGTCAGAAGCCTCGGCGGGCCAGGGCGTGGGCTGCGAGATGGCAACGGGCCGCCCCTCGAGGCACGCCAACCCAGTTGGCCGACGATCTGTTTTGCCCCCACCTTGCGGAGGGGCTCCTGTTTCGTATCCTCCTGCGGGGTCTGGGGGGGGTGCACCCCTCGAAATCTGGCCCAGGTCACGGGCAGAAGGTCGGCGAAAGACGGCAGCGGCCTAAACTTGCAGTTGCGGCCCCAGGAGCGCTTCAAGATGTCCTGAAAAAAACCGGGCTCAAAGAGCCCTCAAGATAGCGTCAAGACGGCCCCTGAGGCCCCGAAGCTGGCCCAAGAGGGCCCCGAAGAAGCGAGCATCGTGTCATTCCCTTTGGAAAACGTACCTGTGGAGCCTGCTCCCTATCTAGTCTCAACAGCGTCCTTGACGCCCAAAGAGGCCCCCAAGATCGGCCCAAACCTGCCCAAGACTTCCAAAGAGAGCCCGCAGACAGTTCAAGAGGCTTACGGAAGACGACAGAACACAGCGAAAGACGGCCGTACAGTTGCAGTTGCGGCCCGGACGTGCTTCAAGAGGCTCTGGAGTCTGGAGAACCCCAAGACGACCCAAGAGCGCTCAAAGAGCTTTTAGGATATCTTCAAGACGACCCCAGAGGCCCCCAAGATGCCCAAAGGGGGCTCCGAAGAGGCGAAAATCAGATTACTCTCTGTTCGAAACCGTAGGCTTTTAGCCTGCCCCCTGTATGGTCTTCACAGCGTCCACGATGGCCCAAGGGGCCCCCAGGATCGGCCCCCAAGACTGCCCAAGAGAGCCCGAAGACGTTTCAAGAGGCCGGCGGGAGACGGCAGAAGACGGCGAAAGACGGCCGTAAATTTGCAGTTGTAGCGTTGGGCGTGCTTCAAAAGGCATTGGAGAATTGGAGAACCCCAAAGACTTCCCAAGAGAGCCCGCAGACAGTTCAAGAGGCTGACGGAAGACGGCAGAATACGGCGAAAGGCGGCCGTAAATATATAGTTGCGGCCCGGACGTGTTTCAAGACGCTCTGGAGAACCCCAAGACGACCCAAGAGCGCTCAAAGAGCTTTTAGGATATCTTCAAGACGACCCCAGAGGCCCCCAAGATGCCCAAAGGGGGCTCCGAAGAGGCGCAAATCAGATTACTCTCTGTTCGAAACCGTAGGTTTTTAGCCTGTCCCCTGTATGGTTGTTCGAAACCGTAGGTTTTTAGCCTGTCCCCTGTATGGTCTTCACAGCGTCCACGATGGCCCAAGGGGCCCCCAGGATCGGCCCCCAAGACTGCCCAAGAGAGCCCGAAGACGTTTCAAGAGGCTGGCGGGAGACGGCAGAAGACGGCGAAAGACGGCCGTAAATTTGCAGTTGTAGCGTTGGGCGTGTTTCAAGAGGCATTGGAGAATTGGAGAACCCCAAAGACTTCCCAAGAGAGCCCGCAGACAGTTCAAGAGGCTGACGGAAGACGGCAGAATACGGCGAAAGGCGGCCGTAAATTTATAGTTGCGGCCCGGACGTGCTTCAAGAGGCTCTGGAGAACCCCAAGACGACCCAAAAGCGCTCAAAGAGCCCTTACGATATCTTCAAGACGACCCCAGAGGCCCCCAAGACTCCCAAAGGGGGCTCCGAAGAGGCGAAAATCAGATTACTCTCTGTTCGAAACCGTAGGTTTTTAGCCTGTCCCCTGTATGGTTGTTCGAAACCGTAGGTTTTTAGCCTGTCCCCTGTATGGTCTTCACAGCGTCCACGATGGCCCAAGAGGCTCCCAAGATCGGCCCCAGACTGCCCAAGAGAGCCCGAAGACGGTCCAAGAGGCCGGCGGGAGACGGCAGAAAACGGCGAAAGCCCAAGATCGGCCCAAGAATGCCCAAGAGAGCCCGAAGACGTTTCAAGAGGCCAGCGGGAGACGGCAGAAGACGGCGAACGACGGCTGTAAATTTGCAGTTGTGGCGATGGGCGTGCTTCAAGAGGCATTGGAGACTTGGAGCCTCAAGATAGCTGCGAAGCAGCCCTAGACGCCCACAACATGCCCCAACGGTTCCCCAAGACGGCCCCGAAGAGGCGAAAATCATGCCATTCCCTTTTGGAAAACGTATGTGTGTCGCCTGTCCACTGTATGGTTTTCACAGCGTCCACGACGGCCCAAGAGGCTTCAAGACGGGCCCGAGCTTGCCCAAGAGGGCCCCAAGAGAGCCCGCAGACTGTCCAGGTGGGCTCCAAAACAACCCAAGAGAGCCCCAAGACAGCCCAAGAGAGACCCCAGAGGGCTCCAAAAGGCTCCCAAGAGAGCCTCAAGATCGTCCCAAGACTGCCCCAGAGGCCCCAAAGAGCCCAAAGACAGTCCAAGAGAGACTCCCAAGAGCTTTCAAAGGAACCCCCGCAGAGCGCCTCAAGACTGCCCCAGCCCCCTAAGACGGCCTAAGAGGCCCCACGCAGCCCAGACGGGCCCGAGTCCCTTCCCGCCCTGCTTCACTCTCCTTTCTCTCTTCCCAGTTCCGTACATCCTTACCCTCTTCAGGAACCTTGTCGAAACCTCAATAAGGCAAGGTTCCACGCACGAATCGGACAACGCGGGAACGAGCAGACGACTCCTACTTACCACCACTGCCCTTGCAACTCTCCGCGTCGCAAGTCAGGCCCACCGCAAGAAAGCCCCAAGACAGTCCAAGGGAGGCCCCAAAAGGCTCCAAAAGGCTCCCAAGAGATCCTTCATATCGGCCCAAGGCTGCCCCCACAGGCCCCCAAGAGCCTGGAGCCAGTCCACGAGATGCTCCAAAAGGCCCCCAAGAGAACCCAAACCCAAAGAGCGCCACAGAAGGGCCCCAAGAGAGTCCAAAAGATCCCCCAGAGCGCCGCAAGACGGCCCCAGCCCCCTAAGACGGCCCAAGAGGGCCCCAGGCAGCCCAGACGGGCCCGAGTCCCTTCCCGCCCTGCTTCACTCTCCTTCCTCTCTTCCCAGTTCCGTACCTTCTTACCCTCTCAGGAACCTTATCGAAGCCTCAATATGGCAAGGCTTCGTCCAGGAAACGAACGACGCGGGAACGAGCATACGACTCTTTCTTGCCAGCTCTGTCCTGGCAATTCTCTGCGTCGCAAGTCAGGCCCACCGCAAGGAAGCCCTGAGAAACCCCATTGGACTTTCGAGCACCTCCTCAGATATGTCTGAAGCGCAGCGCAGAGGCTCCCTGGAGGCCCCAGAACGGCCCCCCTTCGCACTGTGCGAAGCGGGGCCGTTCTGGAGCCGAAGCGACGTCGTCCCCGGCATGCACTGCAGAAACACAGCCGCACAGGCAAAGACCTCGGGTGACCACAGGATTTCACGAGTTTCAAAGACAGCTGGTCACACAGCCAGAGCGGCCTACTTCGGCCTTCAAGTGGAACCGCGCAACGCGGGAACGCACAATGCTTTAAGGTTGGGGCTCATGGCTTTGTATCAGGTTTTCAACCAACGGATGCTCCTCGATTTCGGCCCCCTTGGGGTCGTGTTCGAGCCCCAGGGCCAACAACACTGGATCTGGGGCGGAAAACGATCCCTGGGGAAGCGATGGGAACCTCTGGGCCCGAGGATTGCAGAAATCACATCCGCAGACGTCGGGCAACGTGGGGTGGGGGCTTCTGCCTCGTGTCGCGCCGCCGGCTCTGGCCCACCGCGCTTCGGCGCAGCACGCGCACCACGTCCCGGCCCCCAGGCGCCAACGCCCCGAGCCCTTCCCCGCCTCGCGGCGGAGCCACACGCTATGCCAGCCTGCAGGGCAGGACGCGTCGCAGGGGCCGTCGCTCTGAGAAGGCCTGCTCCTGCTCACTTCCCCCCCCCTGGCTCGCCGCCGGCATGGGGCGGCAAGGCAGCGGCGAAGCGCGGCGGAGCGGCGGCGAAGCGCGGAAGGGCGGCATCACAAGGAGGGAGAGCGAAAGGGGACAGAGGGACACGGAGAGGGTGGAGGCCAGCGAGGAGGGAGGGGCGAGGAAGAGATATACGTTGCAGAGCGAGCTTGCTTGGCCCGGTCCCGACCGCTTCCCTTGGAGTGGGCTTTCGCCCCAGATCCGCTGTGAATGGCCCGGGGGCCCGAAAGCCGCCCCCGAGGGCCGAAGTCAAGGAAAAACCGCCGGGATTTCAAAAATCATACCGCCGGAGATCTGTTTTTTTTGTTTCTCTCTCTCTCTCTCTCTCTCTCTCTCTCAGGACCCCCTTCGGGGATCACCCGTTAAAATTGGAACGATACAGAGAAGATTAGCATGGCCCCTGCGCAAGGATGACACGCACAAATCGAGGAGTGCATACAATTTGTTATGCTACTCTGGTCTCGCTGGCCACAGCAGAGGAATCGAACCCCAGGCGGGCGTGTACAAGAGGAGGCTGCCCGAGCACGAGGCGGCCGCGGTGCTCGAGGCCTGTCCAGAGATCGAGTGGCTGGCGGACCGCCGAGGGGCGGGAGGGGACTGGCAGAGCCCAGGCCAAGGCTTGGATTTGGACGCCCGAAATGGGTACCGAAAGAATGGGTACTATGCCCAACCACAATTCCTGTTCATTTTGAACAGGACTCGCTGTCCACGCCGCCGCGGTCTGTGTCCATTCGAGACAGGAGGCCGCCTGCCCAACAGCGGCCGCTGTTGGCTTGGGACAACATTTGTTGTTGGGCATAGTGCCCATCTTTCGGTGCCCATGTCGGGCGTCCAAATTGGAGAGCATGTGCTGCGCAGTTTCATCATATCTGGGCGCTGCATTTCTGTTCGCACTGGGCGTGTTGGCCCGGCTTCGGGCCCCAGGACCATCACGGATCGATCCAGCTCGAAAGGGGCCGCAGAAAGGTTGGAGCTGGGGCTCTGGTCGTCAGTTTTCGAAATTTTGCAACATGTTCGCAACGTCGGATCTCAGGGATGGCTTTATTCCTGGGAACAAACATTCAGAGACGTGCCCAACCCTCCCGAGACGCCTGGCAAGACCACGGGGTGAGTCCGCGTAAGACCGCACTCCGTTCAGCAGCCCTCGAATGTGGCGACGGTTGCGCAGCTGGCAGCGCCCAGGGAGGCGAGGTCTCGTTCCGATCTGGGCACGACCGCACTCTGCTGGACTCTCCAAGAGCTCACGAACATGGCGACCGCTGCGCAGTTGGCAGCGCCCGGGGAGGCGAGGTCGCACCCCGATCTGGGTAGGATTGTGGAGGACGATCAATGGAGAGGAAGCATGTTGCCAAGTAATTTCCAGATGTTTGAACACATGTGTTAAACACGTGTTCAACATGTAAAAACATTTGTTTAAGGCATGTGTAGACCACTTTCCGACATCTTAAACACATTTGACATTCAATGATAGGGCTGTTAGGGTGTCCATTGTCGTGGCATCCACATGGGTAGGACCGCACTCCGCTGCACCCTCCAGGTGCTCACAACTTGGCGACCGCCTGCGCAGCTGGCAGCACCGAGGGAGGCGAGGCGGGACCGCACTCGGCCAGGCCCCCCAGGGGCGCAGGAAGCCGCCGGCGGCTGCGCAGAGGGCAGCGCCAAGGGAGGCTAGGAGGCGCGCGCCGAGGTCTGCTCAGGAGGGGACACAAACAAAAATACCCTGGCGAAGGACCCAGCCATATGAAGTTGTGGGTACCGCAATTGTGAATCTCTTCTTCGGTGAAGCTCCCTATGGGGCCACGAAGCGCTGCGCTGGGCGGGGGGGGAACGCATGCGGGCGGTAGCACTGGGGCCGTCGGTGAAGCTCCCTATGAGGCCACGAAACGCTACACTGGCTGGGTGAAAACACCAAATTGGGCGTGTGGGACGCATGCGGGCAGTCCCATTGGGGGCTTCGGTGGAGCTCCCCATGGGGCCGCGAAGCGTTGTAAAGGGTAGGTGGAAGTGCCAAATTGGGTGTGGGGGACGCATGCGGGCGGCCCCGCTGGGGGCTTCGGTGGGGCTCACTATGGGGCCACGAAGCGCTGTACTGGGTCTGTGAAAATGCCAAAGTGGGTGTGGGGGACGCATGCGGGCGGTCCCACTGGAGGTTTCGGTGGAGCTCCCGGTGGGGGACGCATGCGGGCGGTCCCACTGGGGGCTTCGGTGGGGTTCCCTATGTGGCCACGAAGCGCTGTATTGGGCGGGTGAAAATGCCAGATTGGGCATGGTGGATGCATGCGGGCGGTCCAATTAGGGGCTTCGGTGTAGCTCCCCAAGGGGGCCACGAAACGTTGTACTGGGCGGGTGAAAATGCCAAACTGGGTGCGGGGGGCGCATGCGGACGATCCCACTGGGGGCTTCGGTGGGGCTCCCTATGGGGCCACGAAACGTTGCACTGGGTAGGTGACAATGCCACGTTGGTTCTGGGGGACGCATGCGGGCGGTCCCACTGGGGGCTTCGGTGGGGCTCCCTATGGGGCCACGAAGCGTTGTATTGGGTGGGTGAAAATGCCAAATTGGATGTGGGGGGCGCATGTGGGCGGTACCACTGGGGGCTCCGGTGGAGCTCCCTATGGGGTCACGAGGCGCTGTACTGGGTGGGTAAAAATGCCAAATTGGGCGTGGGGGCGCATGTGGGCGGGGGCACTGGTGTCTTCGGTGGAGCTCCTTATGGAGCCACGAGGCGTTGTACTGGGCGGGTGAAAATGCCAAACTGGGTGTGGGGGGGGCGCATGCGGGCGGCCCCACTGGCGGCTTCGGTGGAGCTCCCTATGGGGCCACGAAGCGCTGTGCTGGGTGGGTGACAATGCCAAGTTGGGTGTGGGAGACGCATGCGGGCGGTCCCACTAGTGGTTTCGGTGGGGCTCCCTATTGGGCCACGAAACGTTGTATTGGGTGGGTGAAAATGCCAAGTTGGATGTGGGGGACGCATGTGGGCGGTACCACTGGGGGCTTCGGTGGAGCTCCTTATGGGGCCACGAAGCGCTGTGTTGGTTGTGTGAAAATGCCAAATTGGGCGTGGGGGGCGCATTCGCGCGGTCCCACTGGGGGCTTCGGTGGAGCTCCCTATGGGGCCACAAAACGCTGTACTGGGTGGATGGAAATGCCAAGTTGGGTGTGGGGGACGCATGCGGGCGGGGGCACTGGGGCCTTCGGTGGAGCTCCTTATGGGGCCACGAAACGTGTGAGGGGTGTTCCAAATTGGGTGTGGGGGACGCATGCGGGCGGTGGAAATGAGGAGGGGGAGGAGGAGGAGAAGAGGAGCGCGGGGACCGTCTCTTCAAAACGAGGACCCAACATCACAGGTGGGTTGGGAAAACAGACACAATGAAGCGTCGTTTCCCACGAAGGGGGAAGGCAAAGACCCAGAACACATGGGAAAAGATAGGGACTCCTGTTATTTGTGTATATTTATTTGTGTGCCCCAGGGGTTCCTTCACTTCTGCAGGCGGGTCATTATTTCTTACTCGCGCAGGGCCGCGTTTCTGGAGCTTCGAGGTCCAGGCTCAAGTCTGAGGTTCGAGGATCGATGTACGAGGATCGAGGGTCGAGGTTTGAAATCTTTGGAGGGTCGAGGCTCGAGGCCTGATGTTCGAGGGTCGAGGATTGAGGTTTGAGGTGTTTGGATGGTCGAGGGTCGAGGCTTGAGGTTTCAGAGTTTGGGGGGGGGGTCACGGGTCCAGGTCAGCAGCTGCACAGTTGGCAATATACGGGGGGGAGGCGACGTCTCAGTCTGCTCTGGGTAGGCCCACGCTCAGGAGCAGCGCTCAAGGGTGGGCGCTGAGGGTGTCTCTGCTGGTTCGGGAGGGACCCAGGGCTCCTAGGGGATCGGCGCGGCGCCGAGGGGGCGCCGTGCCAGTCGTCTTCGACGCCTGCGGCCTCGCTTTCGCGGCGCTGCAGGGCGTGCTCGAGTGGGCGGGTCGGCCCAGACGCTGCGTGGCCGCCGCGCAGTTGCCCGACTGAGAAAAATAAAAAAAGGTTTGATCTGAATGGCAGCTCCGCTAGATCCTCCAGGATCTCACGAAAGTGACAGGAGTGGCGCGGTTGACAGCCTCGAAGGAGGCGAGGTTTCATTCTGACTTTCTTAGGACCGACCACACCCCGCTGGAGCCTCCAGGAGCCCACGAAAGCAGCGACAGTTGCGCAGCTGGCATAACCCAGGGAGGCGAGGCTTCATTCCGATCCGGGTAGGGCCGCACGCCGCTGGACCCCCACAAGCACACTCAGCCAGCAACAGTTATGAAGTTGGCGGCACACAGGGTAGCGAAGTCTCATTCTGATCCGGGTAGCATCGCACTCAACGTGGCCCCCCATGAGCCCACGAAATGGCACGAGTTGCGCAGGTGGCAACATAGGGAGGCGAGGTGTGTGGGAAGAGGGAGGGGATGGGGCAGGGGGCAGGAAGGGTGAAGTGGAGCGGAGGGGAGGGGAGGGGAGGGGAAGCATGAGGAGGAGGAGGAGCAGGAGGAGCGGCAGTGCCTTATTCACAACGAAGACCCGACCAAAGAGGGTTAGAAACAACATCACTGGAGAAGTGACCCTAAATCGTTCCTTCAGTTTCCAGCGTAGTTTCTCTGCCCGTTTTGTTTACCGTACCCAATACACAGTCCACGTTTCTTCTCGCGTATCTGTTCCTAGTTCTGCTACGTGTCATGCTTCCAGCCTTTCTCTTATCCCATACCTGACTTAATTTCATAGTTGCGCACCAAGTCTCATTCGCACACACGCTCCAGTGTCACAGCGGGCGCATTAGTTGTCCCAAACTCGTGTTTCTACTAGTCCTACTCGTCCCCTCGTCCGTCTTCCTTCTACAATGGCATGTTGCCCATCCCGCCACTGCGGCTGCGTCGTGAAGCATGAAGTCGATTGAAATATCCCAGGTAGCCATTTAAGGGTCTTGTGGGAGCGCCTCGGGGGCCTTCTGATGTATTCTCGTGACTTCAAAAGGCTCTGTTGAGGGCCCCTGGAAGTATTCTACGAGGTCGTGGATTTTCCACGGGTGATCGTCTTGTGGCCTTTCAGGGGGGCCGTCATGAAAGGTTGTTGGGTCCCAGTGACTGGTTTCAGGAAGGCGCACTGGGGAGAGCTAGGGGTCGTTCGGGGCATGGACCTTGCTGAGATCGAAGGTACGACAATGTTACAATCATACCGGATATGTAAGTGTTGTATGATTTGGGTGTCTTCGCCCCCCCCAAAAAAAACACAAAAAACAAACACAAAAAATCAACGGCCCGTGAAGGACCTTTGAAACACTGTTAGGGCACATGGGACGTTTGGGTTTCAAACCACGCGTCCGAGGTCTCGGGGAAGGTCGCACGATTGCCCCCGAGAGGGCCCGAAAGCGCACAGAAGCGCTTGTGAGCAGTGAGTTGTAAGTTTTCTCCGTTGACCGAACATGCCCAGTATTCATGTATTCATGATCAAGGAGGCCCAGGGCACCCACAGGGGCGCGAAGATGACCGCGTTTCGCGCGTCACGGTCTCGGCCAGAGCAGCCGCTCTTCCTTCAACGAGGGCGGCGCGTTGGCGCGGGCGCGAAGTTGGGTGGCCTCGAAGATTGTGCTCGAGAATGCCGACGGACGTACAGGCGTTCCCCCCTCAGAGCTGGCGGCACGGTGGCGGATGAGGACACGTTCCCACTCCAATTTTGCCCCCGGCCTGGTAGGAGCCGTACGCGGATGTGTCCCCCCGACTTGCCATAAACGGTACAAGAGCTACATGTGTTTCAACATGGACATGTTGTCGCCAAGTGAGTAAAACGCGGGGTAAGAATGGGACGCGGCGCGCAATGCGCGCAAGTGCGCGACGTGACACCTCTGGCCCCAGCGCCGTGCCCATGTTGTCTGATGCTCCCGCTCGGCGATGTATGAGTTTGGTCGGCCGAATACTCGAAATCGGGGCCGCGCCCGCCCGAGGGAGAGAGAGAGAGGGAGGAAGAGAGAGAGAGAGAGATGTCGTGTTCGCCTCAGCGCTGCGCCGCTTCTTCCTGAAAGTTGAGTTCTCGCCTGGGCACGGCGCACACTTCTGATCGCCAATATAAAGAAGCTGCGCTGCGCGCCAGTGAGCGGAATTCTCATTTCGTCTGAAAGCCAAGGTTCTCCCTTGGACTTGCGTTTCCGTTTTGGCGCGGCGCATCTTTCCCTCACCTAGTCGACGCAAACGGGGCCTCGCAGCCCGCAGCTGAATGTTGTCTTCGCCCCAGGGCCCAGACCAGATCATCCAGTGACGTTGCGTTGCCATGTGGGCTCTGATCGTTTGTCCGCCGCTGTGCCTTTGCATTGACAAATTCGAGCAGGCGAGGAGGCGTTCACGGATGTTGCAAGGGTTTCGTGAAAGTTACCCGCCAAGTGCCAAAGTATGTGCATATCAGTGCTAACGTTCACGCCCTATTGACACCAGCATAAATGTTTTAGTCACGTTCAGACTATATCCAGTGTTGCTCGTAGTAACCATCCCGTGTCTAATTGCTACTAGCCTATTCCTCTAAGCATTGGATCACGCATGCCACCACTCCTACACCGACGACCACTATGCCCGCTGGTGATCTCGTTATGTCCAACCCTTATTCCAACACTACGATTACTGCGATGTCAGGAGTGCCAGTGATGGTAGCACTAGTCGCTTCGATGCGTGCACTCGTGTTACTCCTGATCATACTCCTATCGACGCCCTTGGGAATGAGTACCCCGAATGCTCCTGCTGCGCTCCGAACATGTGAGCTCCCGCTTAATCCCGCAAAATATATGCACGGTTTCATGTTCAACAGTGGTCTTGTCTTGTCCGCAATGCCAAGAGCGTGGTAGGAATGGGGCGAAGCGTTCAGCGCGCGCTAAATAAAGATCGGTGGTGCAAGGTTTCATGGACAATCAACCCCATGTTCATTGTGTATGCAAGTCCGCACCGTGATGTCCGCGTAGCGGGCCGAGTCCAATGTCATGTTGCGAGTCGCGTCCAATTTTGCAGCGCCAGCGGTCCGCAAGTTTGTGATGGTTTGCTCTCCGAAAACATGAAATGCCCAAGTCACAAATTCCGATGAGTCGATAGTTGAACTCTGAGAGTAGATTGCGTTGCAGACCTCAAGTTCCGAAGTTTCAATGGCCCATGAGCATGCGGAAGGTGCCTTTCGAGGTCGTAGAGCGATGGCCCGCAGGCGTCTGAGTTCTACGTTCTGAGGTCTTGAACCGCCCCAGTTAACAAATTCTGGAGTGGCGATAGTGCCCGTGCGTGTGATGGTTGCGCCCAGAAGCTTTTTACTGTCCCGACAGCCATGTCCGGGACTTCGATAGACACAGGGCGTGTGATGTTTGTCGGGAAATGTCATCGACAATTGTCGTCAACGTGCGGTAGCCGGCGGCGAGCAACATAAACGATTCACAGCGCACCCACGTGTACGAACCCGCGTGCAAAAAATTGAGAAGAGCCCTAGCCCCTAGCCTCGGCTTCGAAGCTTTACGAAGCCCTGCCCACAATGTCGCTCGTCATCCTGAACTCGGGGGTGCCATGCGTCTGCAAACATAGGCGCCTTATTAAGAACTCCGTGGGACGCGGGAACGCGGCCGAATCCAGGATAAGTGTAGTCTACGGGAGTACTTGATGGCGACGGTGCTAGAAGTCAAAGAGTTCTCTGCGACCTCGATGTCGACCACCTTGCGGCCACGTCTTTCTCGCCGTATGCGTTGTTCCAGCCGCACGCGTCGTCCATAAAACTTCTAGAGTGATTGGGGGGAATCTACAAAATCGAGCTCAGGATGGAGAAGACCGTTGGGCGGTGGAGGACGCACGATTTCGCTGTGGGGTGGGACACGTCAGACTGCCAGCTCCCCAAGGAGTGCGCGTGGCGGACACCTTTGCCGCCAGGGTGGCGCAAGATATTCGACGACCAGGCAGTGGTCGTCGTTGCCGCCGTTGCTACTCTGCGCGCGCATCAGATTCCTGTTGTAGCGGGGTCGGTTCTAGTTCTTTGGTGAGCGCGCAGTCGACATCTGCCGACAGCACCGCTCGGTTGTAGCTCGCAGGAGGAAGTTGAGGAAGCGACAAATAAGTATTGACGCATGTGCAGGAGCGAGCGGGCAGAGTTACAGGCAGACGCGGAAGTGGGAGTGATCGATAGCAGAAGGATACCATTTGTGCCGTGGCAGCCCAAACGATGTCCGATAGGAGCGAGGGAATTGCCCTTGTGGGCTCACTTCTCAACACCATCATGATAGATCCGTGGCGGCTGACTCCTACTAGTGTCGTGTTGGGTGAGGCGCAGGCCGCGCCCAACGAAGGATCACCGCACGGTCAGGAGCGTTGGCTTAGCGTGTCGCGCCGACGGTTCTGGCCCACCACGCTGCGGCACGATTCGCTATCCGCGCCCCAGTCCCCAGGCGTCAATGTCCCGAGCCGTTCCGAGCTTCTCGCCCCGCGGAGCGGAGCGACGCGCTATCCCTTCGCAGGGCATAGCGTGTCGCCAGGACCGCCGCCGCAGCATGCCGAGCAAAGGTTCCCGACCGTAGGTCAGCCGTCCTTGGCATAGAGTGGCGATGGTGGAAAGTGGCTCCCCCGCCACGTGCTGCAGCTGGCGACGGCAACGGCAGTGGCGCGAGACAGTGGTGATGATGTCAGGATAGTGCCCATCGCCAGCATTGAGACATCGCCAGGGGCGGTGGGCCTGCAACGCGAGAGGGCGGCAGGGTCTCCCGCTCTTTCTCCACCACTTTCGGCAATGGCTCAGGGGCATGCTTCAGGAGAGACCGTCGGTGTCTGCCCTTTGCAAGGGCCCAAGGCGTCGAGCGGAACGGGTCGCTGCGCGTGCACGTTCAGGACATTTGTGATTCGGTTTGAGGTTGCGATATCTCTAGATCAAGCGTTGCGCGCACGTGTGTCGGAGAGAATATCATCCTGAATTCACTTTGCGTAATCGGCATAGTTCTTCGTGAGCCCACTTGGGCACCCGCTGCACCATCCCGCGGGGCATCCCTCCGCCTCACAACAAACAGATCATCATTCGCGACAGCAGCCAACAGATTACGGTTGGGAGCGTTGGTTAAGGAATGTGCTTAGGAGGTTTTAGGCCCTGGAGGATTATTCATCTGATGAGGGCGGCAGTGGTATCAATGACCACGTCTAATTTAGGGTTTCACTGGCTTCGAGACCCTGAAGACCTTATCGAAGGGTTCTGTTCTTCATCCAATACCCTCACCGTAATATACACTCGCATGCTTGTTTAAACTCATGCTCAGCTACGCCGTCGGATTTTAATGAATGGAATATCAAGTACACCCGCGGATTCAAAACCATCTGAGATAAGTCTGAAGCCGGCGCTAATGCCAAGTCAAAATTGAGGTTGAGCTTGAATTCGCCGTCGTCAGACGATGGATCCGAACGTCGAGCTCACAGTAAGGCTAAGAGTAAGCGAAGGCGAACCATACACGGCGGGGACATGCGGGAACATGCGGGAACAGGGTGAGGACATGCGGGAACACGCCAGGGAAAAGCCAACCAGCAAGTGCAGCGTCCCAAGGACACGCATGCAGCCATCCCCCCACGCGTTTTCCCGCTTAGTAATCCGAGTGCATCTTGGAGACCATGCCAGGCCCGTGCTAAACAGACGGTAAGAGTCATAGAATGCAGGTCTAAGCGGCGGATGGTTACGTGATCCAGTTCATATCTTGATTGGTGTGATGGCTCAAAGTGTAAAACATCGTATGGCGACGAGCTGAGAAAAGGCATGCAGGACCCTGCCAGCATAATCACTGATAGCTCAAAACGCTGGCATTAGTTTCAGAAGTAAGTTGAATCAGATGGTAAGGGTCGCATGTAAAAACACAGACCAGGTCCTGTGATAGATCAGTCGTGGCTCTGCCGTTGCCGCGACGATCTTGATAAAAGCAGTGACACTTCAGCTTCACAGCATCAGTGTCTTCACATTTGTCATGATATATCTCGCAAGCTAGCTTATACACTGGACTCTCTTCATTGCCCCCGCTTTCTCGCCAGGGCCGTGCTCAATACCTATGCGAAGAGACAGGAGGCGTATCAAGGAGAGCTTTTTTGATTTGCTGTTCTGGGGCAGGTGTCGCCGTGGTTTGCCGTATCTTGGAGGTCTTCAACTAATTCCTTCCTTGCGTCAGTAGGCAGTTCAGCGCTTCAGCCTGACAGGTGGCTGAGATGTACGGAACGGGGTTTCGTTGTGGGCTGGGTATTAGACACGGACCGTAGCAACGGATATTCGTTGATGTGCCCTAAATGATATTGTGCACAGGGGCGTGGTGCGCCAAACACCGGATATTGAGATGTGTTGCCAGACACAGAGCGAGTTTGGAGCATTTGGAGAATAGGGGTGTCACTGCAAGCTTGTCCAGTTGTGTGTGTGGTTGCACCTGCAGGTTTATGCCATCCGTGGCCTGCACCTAGAGCGCCCCAGAAACGGCTGGGAGCAAACAATATATTAGAGCAAGACAGCACGGAGGGCCGCCACAAAAAGCGGGCTTGCAGCGCGCTGCCACATTTCGGAAAGTACGTGTATTTGGCCAAGGTCATGGCCCACGTCAGGACGGGCAGCGCACAAGCTGCCAACGCTATCGAGTGGCTGCGTTTGGTGGCCGACGAGGCGCTCCGAGTGTGCTGAGAGTGTTTTGAGCGAAGCTGACTTGACGGGCGTCGAGAGAGCGCAAAAGAGTCAAAGGGCAGACGAAGCTAGCATCGCTCGCCTCATTCCCAACCCTCCTGTGTTGGGTTCTCGTTTTGAATAGAGCAGTGTGGTCGCCCCGTCCTCCTTCCTCTTCCTCCTCCCCTCTCCTCACCTCCTCCTCTCCTGTTTCCTGTGTTCCCCTCTCCTCTTCTCTCGTGCCGTCGGGCTGCGATCTGCGCAACAGGCTCCACTTTCGTGGGCTCCTGGGAGGCCCAGCGGAGGTGGGTCCCACGCGGACCACCTCGGGACCTCGCCGCCCCCTGGGGGGGGGGCTTGCGATCTGCGCAACAGGCTCCACGTTCGTGGGCTCCTGGGAGGCCCAGCGGAGGTGGGTTCCACGCGGACCACCTCGGGACCTCGCCGCCCCCTGGGGGGGGGGTTGCGATTTGCGCAACAGGCTCCACTTTCGTTGGCTCCTGGGAGGAACAGCGGAGGTGGGTCCCACGCGGACCTTCTCGGGACCTCGCCGCCCCCTGGAGGGGGCTTGCGATCTGCGCAACAGGCTCCACTTTCGTAGGCTCCTGGGGGGGGGCCCAGCGGAGGTGGGTCCCACGCGGACCACCTCGGTACCTCGCCGCCCCCTGGGGGAGGGGGGGGGGGGGCTGCGATCTGCGCAACAGGCTCCACTTTCGTTGGCTCCTGGGGGGAACAGCGGAGGTGGGTCCCACGCGGACCACCTCGGGACCTCGCCTCCCCCTGGGGGCGCTTGCGATCTGCGCAACAGGCTCCACTTTCGTTGGCTCCTGGGGGGACAGCGGAGGTGGGTCCCACGCGGACCACCTCGGGGCCTCGCCTCCCCCTTGGGGGGGGGGCTTGCGGTCTGCGCAATTGCCGCCACTTTCGTGGGCTCCTGGGAGGCCCAGCGGAGATGGGTCCCACGCGGACCACCTCGGTACCTCGCCGCTTCTTGGGTGGCTTGCGATGTGCGCAACAGTCGCCACTTTCGTGGGCTTATGGGAGGCCCAGCGGAGGTGGGTCCCACACGCGGACCACCTCGGGACCTCGCCGCTCTCTTCGGGGGCTTGCGATCTGTGCAATTGTCGCCACTTTCGTGGGCTCCTGGGAGGCCCAGCGCAGGTGGGCCCCACGCGGATCACCTCGGGACCTCGCCGCCCCTTGGGGGAGGCTTGCGATCTGCGCAATTGTCGCCACGTTCGTGGGCTCATGGGAGGCCCAGCGGAGGTGGGCCCCATGCGGACCACCTCGGTACTTCGCCACCCTCTGGGGGGCTTGCGATCTGCGCAATTGTCGCCACGTTCGTGAGCTCCTGGGAGGCCCAGCAGAGGTGGGTCCCACGCTGACCACCTCGGGACCTCGCCGCCCCTTGGGGTGCCTGCGACCTGCGGAACTGTCGCCACTTTCGTGGGCTCATGGGAGGCCCAGCGGAGGTGGGTCCCATGCGGACCACCTCGGTACCTCGCCGCCCCCTGGCGGGCTTGCGACCTACGCAACAGTCGCCACTTTCGTGGGCTCCTGGGAGGCCCAGCGGAGGTGGGTCCCACGCTGACCACCTCGGGACCTCGCCGCCCCCTCGGGGCCATGCGATCTGCGCAACTGTCGCCACTTTCGTGGGCTCCTGGGAGGCCCAGCGGAGGTGGGTCCCACGCGGACCACATCGGGACCTCGCCGCCCCCTGGGGGGCTTGCGATCTGCGCAATTGTCGCCACTTTCGTGGGCTCGAGGCCCATCGGAGGTGGGTCCCACGCGGACCACCTCGGTACCTCGCTGCTCCTTGGGGGGCTTGCGATCTGCGAAATTGTCGCTACCTTCGTGGGCTCATGGGAGGCCCAGCGGAGGTGGGCCCCATGCGGACCACCTCGGGACCTCGCCGCCCCTTGGCGGGCTTGCGACCTGCGCAACTGTCGCCACTTTCGTTGGCTCCTGGGAGGCCCAGCGGAGGTGGGTCCCATGCGGACCACCTCGGGACCTCGCCGCCCCCTGGTGGGCTTGCGATCTGCGCAACAGTCGCCACTTGCGTGGGCTCCTGGGAGGCCCAGCAGAGGTGGGTCCCACGCGGACCACCTCGGGACCTCGCCGCCCCCTGGGGGGCTTGCGATCTGCGCAATTGTCGCCACTTTCGCGGGTTCCTGGGAGGCCCAGCTGAGGCTTTCGTGGTGGTTTAGCCCTCGCCGCCGCGCCCTTTTGTGTTCACTCTTTGGGCGCGTTTCTTTCAACGCCCCTGTGCTTCCATTTTGTATAGTTGCCGTTCCTCGTCTTGTTGCGCTCTTCTGAAATCACTGATGGATGCTCTGCTTGCGCACTGCTGGTCTTTCAGAATGCCAGTCAGCATTGAGCTGTCCTGAGTTAAATCGCCACATGTATAGAAAGGGCTGGGTGCGTCACCGGGTAATTCGCCTTTTCCAGCCCTCTCTCCCTCTCTCTCGCTCTCTCGTTGTTTGTCTCTCTCTCTCTCTCTCTCTTTCTCTCTCTCTCTCTCTCTCTCTCTCTCTCTCTCCTTCACAGGGGCCCATCGGCGGGCCAGGCAAACGTCGTCGCGCTTCTCATATGATTATCAGTATGGTGGCCCTCCGTCTTCCGGCCAAGGGATGCGTCGGCGTGGCCCCGCGGAGGGGATCCCGCACGGCGCCGTGGGACACCAGTTCGGGAAGTGCTACAGGTGTCCTTGGCCACAGGTGTCCCCAGCCTTTCGCTCCACTGTTGCGCCCCTGGGGCCCTCGGGGCCTCGTGAGGGGTGCTCTGGAGGGCGGTTGTGGCCTCCTTGGAAATCCTGGGGGACACCTTCGGCCAGGGGCACGCCTGGCAACGCCCGACGAGGCGGGCGGTCCGCTGGGGCCTCGTGGTGGGGGCCCGCGTAGCGGCGCGGCGTCGTGGAGGCCCCTGGGGCCCAGGGGCTCGAGGATCGCAGTTCGAAGGTTCGAAGGTTCGACGTTCGAAGGCTCGGAGGTGCGAAGTTCGGGGTCCTCGGGCGTTGTCGTCGGCTCTCGGCGGTGTTCCAGCCGCGGGATGCTCGCCAGCAGCTGCGCCTCGCCGAGAGGCGTCCAGGGGTGCCTGGATTGTCTCGAACGCCCGCTGTAGAGCCGAGTTCTGGCCCGAAAACCATCGGGTTGCGCAGAAGCACGCCCGACTAAGTATCGGCGCCCGCGGCGGGCCCCATGGTTCCGCCTCACAGTGCATTCTGCAGGGCCCCTCCTTCCAGGCTGCGCCTGTGGGCAGTGTGGCTAAGAGGCTCAACCTCGCTTCGTCAGCCACGGAGCCGTGGCATCGCCAAGGCGACCGCCCCCTGCCAGCCAGTGGCATCGGTAGCGATGTTCACGAAGCCTGCGGAGCGAGAAGTGCGCGTTGCAGGCGTGCTCGTTTGCTTACGTGTTCCAACATTTGCCGGCACGAGTAATTGTCAACCCGAGTGGGCGGGTGTCCGTGCGCACACTAGTTCGACAGATGTCAGGCCCACCTTTCGTTGGGCGGCTTCTGTTGGCGACTCCCCTGGAGGACCTCGGAGCGGACCCCCGACTCCCCTGGAGGACCTCGGAGCGGACCCTCGAAGTCTGATCCAGCAGACAGGTCCCTCGTGTTCACACCAGCCATAATTTAGGAGGTACCTTCGGTGTTCACGTGTACGTTGTTCGAACTTTTGTGATTACACAATTTCGCAGTGTTGTGTCAAGTTTCAGTTAGTTTGTATGCCTGTTACGGTTACCCGTAGTGTCGCTTGGGTGTTCATTCCATGTTTAAGCTGTTGTGTGAGTATGTGGTATTGGTGGTATCGTGTCCTAGTTGTATGTGGTTACGTGGTCATGTTGATATCGTGTCCTGTGTTTGTTCCCCGTGCCAGTTGTTGCTCGTCGTCGTGATTGTCGCCGCACTGGTTTTGTCTTGCTCCCTTGCCCTTGCTGTTATCGTGTCCCTGTCGACCCGTGTAATTCATTGTTGCGATGTGTGTGTTTGTGTTGCTTGATTGTGTTGTTTGAGTGTGTTCATGCCTAGGTTTTTATACATCGGACTTGATCCTCTCGTCTGTGTTACTCGTGCGAATCTTGCTCGGCGTTATCGCTGTCGCCACGGTTTTGTTTGCCGACGCTCGCCAACATATGAATACTCGCCTTTTCGGTAGACAAGCTCAGAAGTTGAAATACTTTGCGGCATTGCGTTATAGAAGTTCGAACATATTGGATAATGCGATTGGAAAGGTGGTATGGTCCTTACCCCCCAGGGGGACCCATCGTCTTCGACAACCCGCTCCCGAGAGCTCCAGAGATCGTCGATACGATGAGTTCCCACAGTGGGCTGAGGAAGACAGCTGCCCTAGTTGCGGCTGGTCGAATTATGTTGCTTGCGTGTGGCACCCGGAGTTTGGAGGCAGTTCAGTGGACTTTAAAATCTTATTCGAGCAGTTCCGATGGGAAGCGGAAAAGCAGGACTCAGAACGAGAGGAATGTGATGATAAGAGAAATTTGTTGGTCACCAGCGACGTCACGGCCCAGAGCGTTGCACGAAGCGGTACGTGGCAACAAGCGGGACACCGGTGAGCTGATCGCGAACCAGGACTAATTCCGATTCGGGGGAATCGATCTTCGGGGACCTCGGCACGCGGTGAATATGGATACGTCCAAGCCTTCCAGGGCCAAAACGTATCCATGTCCACTGCCCGCTTGGGTCCGGAGACGTCTGCTCCGCAGGCGGTGGATCTGGATATAGATCTCCGCCTCGCCTGACTGGAACGAGGGAGAGCGGCCACGGAGGAAGACAGAGGAGGGAGCCGCGCTCAGAGCATGCAGCATTTCACGCGCGCGGTGCCAGCTCCACAAAAACACCTGAAAATTTGGAATCTCGAAAATCTCGACTCGTGTCCGTGTCGATGTTCGTTTTTTGGGACAAGCGCGCGCTTCTCTGGCAGGCGGGAGGAGGGCGGACGGGGGCGATGACCTGCCGAGGGCAGCTCCGCACGGCTCCGGGGGGCT